ACACGGCCACCTCCCCTGGCACAATGCCGCACGGAGGACCCCGAAGTGCTTCTTTGCCTTGTCTCTGCTCTCCCCATGTTCACCGCAAAGGGGTGTGTGTGTGTGCGCGCACACACAAGCCAGTCCTAGGGCTTGAACCCAAGGCCTGGGCGCTGTTCCTGAGTGTCTTTGCTCAAGGCTGGTGCTCTACTACCACTTGAGCCACAGCACCGCTTCTGGCTTTTTGCTAGTTCCCTGAAATCTCAGACTTTCCTGTCCTGCTGGCTTTCACCCACAGTCCTCAGACCTCAGCCTCCTGAGTCGCTGGGAGGAGCGGTGTGGCTCCTTGTTCACTTTGGAACAGAGAGCCCTCTTGGGGAGCTGAGCACGGGGGTGGGGGGGGGGTGCACTATCCCCTGCGGGGCCGTTACCTTCTTGGAGAAGATGTTCTGCAGAGAGAAGCACAGCGTGGCGGCCAGCGCGCTGACCAGCCCCCACGTGTCGAAGGACAGCTCGGTGACCGTGGCCAGCAGGACGCCGCTGATAATGGGGATGAGGGACAGGTACACCTGCGGGGACCAAGGCCTGTGCTCGCTCTCCTGGGCCTCACCTGGCGTCCGGGGCAGCCGGCCCAGGCTGGGCCCTCCCCGCGGCCTCCCCTCGCCTCTCCCGGCCAAGTCTGGCTCCCCTGGTTGGGACAACCCCTCCTCGGGTCACCCACGGCTCTGTCCTCCCGTGTCCTGTGCTGCCTGGTGTCCCGGCCCAGCCTGGTCGTCCGGCTCCGCCCACTGGGCCATCTGCTCGCCATCACGCAGGCCGGGCCCGCACGCTGCAGGCCTAACAGCTGTTGGCCGTGGGGACGACACAGGCACTAGTGGGAGAATCCTCAGTGCCTGAGGGGCCACCAGGTTCCACAGACCATGGGGAGCTGTCCTGGCTTTTAGCTTACCCCGAGCTATAAAAAAAATTTTCAAACAAGGTCAGGGCTGGGTGTAGCAGCATGCACCTGTAATCCTGGCCCTCGGGAAACTGAGAAAGGGGATCAGAGTTGCCAGCGAGCAGGGGCTCCACAGTGAACCCGTGTCAGAAAAACAAAGACCAAGACGAAGCCAGGCGCCCAAGGCTCCCGCCTGTCATCCCCGCCACTCAGGAGGCTGAGATCTGAGGATCACAGTTCAAAGCCAGCCTGGGCAGGAAAGCCCATGACACTCTTCTCTCCAATGAACTACCAGAAAACCAGAAGTGGCGCTGTGGCTCAAGTATAGAGTACTCACCTTGAGCTGAAAAGCCAATGGACAGCGCCCAGGCCCAGAGTTCAAACCCCATGATACCAAAAAAGAAAAACGAAGACGAGCTGGAGGCATGACTCAGCAGGAGAGGGTCCCCCTGGCAAGTGCAAGTCTCCAAGTACAGGTCTCAGTACCATTCGAAACAAAAAAGCAGAGACAGGCCGAGGCACAGGGATTCACACCTTTCACATAAGCTACTGGGGATGGAGATCAGCAGGGCAGTTAGTGAAACTCCAGCTCAACCGATGTGCCCACCTCTTCTGTGACAAGCTCTAGGTAGGAGGGGCATGGTCCAGGCTGGTGTGGACAAAACCACAAGACACTTAGAAAAAACCCACAAAAGCTGAGAGAGCTCACGCGGAGCTTGCGCAGCTAAGGCCCGTGCAGCAAGCACAAGGCCGAGTTCAAATTCCAGTACTGCAAAAGCAAGGAGAACCCTGAAAGAGCCACAGCAGAGATTTCAGGGGCCTCGCCTGGGAGGGCAGCGTGCGGGCTGCAGTCTGGGGGACGGAGTCCCAGCGCCCCCCCCCCCCCCCCCCCCGCGGCCTTCGGTGCGGTGCCTGTCCCCTTGGAGTCCCAGGTCCTGGCGGGCTATCAGTGATCGGCCTTATCTGCCCACTGGGTGGGACCAAGTGAAGTAATCGCCCTTCCCTGGCCTGCTATCTGAGAGGACCAAGCCACAGCCAACCTCTCGCCGGCCGCCACGTGGGCTCCCTGCCCAAGCCCAGTACAATGTCCCATGGAGCCCGGAAACCCGATCAACACCACGGGCTCTTGGGCGACGCACCTGCACCTGTGTGTCACCCGTGCCTCTGACCCCCAGGGGCCAGTCACACCTGACGTCAGCCTCGGGGTAGGGGGAGGGTGCACAGGTCCGCCAGCATCCAGCCGGACGGGGCCCGGTTCCCAACAGCTCGTGCGGGGCAGCCGCTGGGCTCGGCCCAAGCCGCACACAGCGAAGGCTGTCCGGGTCCCCCACAGAGGACTCCAGCGAGGACCCCAGGAGTCCCGAGAGCCCGGAGGCAGGAAGCGCCGGGCTGGGCACGCTCACACAGCCCTGGCTGGCGCCAGGGGCATCCCCTCCTTCCTGCCGGGCGCCTTTCCGTGCCCAGGTTATCAGCGCGCGGCTTTCATGTTCAAGACGCCGCCCGGGCCATCGCCCGACCTCTGGGTCCAGCATCTCACGTCAGATCTCCACGTCCGCCTCCCGCGGTTCTGTCTGTCCAAGCTCCGTCCATGGCCCAGGTCCCGGGCCGGCCAGCCCCAGGGCGAGGCCGCACACAGGGGCCAGCGCCGGGCCCCGAGGCCCCCGGCACGGCCCGCCCGCCGCGGGGGGACCCCGGGAGCCTCCCCGCCGACTTCCCTTCCTCCACAGGAAGCCGGGCCGCCCACGTCAGCAGCCCGGGCCCGCGGCCCCCGCGCGGGGCGTCCTCACCTTGGTGCTCTGCTTCTCCTTCATGATGATCCGGGACAGGAGGACCACCCAGATGGGCATGGTGGCCTTGACTGCAAAGAGAGGGACGGCGCTCACCGGGAGGCCGGGCGGGGCGGTCCCGGGGCTCGTCCGGGAGCGCGCGCTGGTCCGTTCTCGGCGCCTCCGGTCCCTTCCCCCGCCCGCGGCCTGGGCGGCCTCTGCCCCGCGCGCTCCTAACCGGGCGGAGTGGCCCGGCGCGGCCCGGGCCCCGCACCCACCGGTGTGAGCGTAGGACACCGGCACCTTCCAGATGCTGACGTGCGCCGACACCGACGCGAAGTACTTGCCGAAGGCGAGCGGCAGCACGTAGCGCGGGTAGAAGCGCGGCGGCAGCAGCGGGCCGGCGGCCGGGTGCGGGCCGGCGGGGCCGGAGACGGGCGGCGCGGGCGGCACGCGCCAGGCGCGCAGCAGCGGGGGGAGCCCGGCGCACAGCGCCAGGATGTGGCACAGCGACACGGTCACCGGGAACGGGAAGGCGCTCAGGATCACCTTGTTCACCACGTTGCCGCCCGCGCTCAGCGCGTACCACAGCAGGCACAGCGCGGCCACCCGCGCGCCCTCGCGCGCCCCGCCGCCCGCCGCGCCCGGGCCGCCCGCGCCCGCGCCGGGGCCCGCGCCCGCCGCCGCCGCCGCCGCCGCCGCCATCCTGCCCGAGCGGCCGCCCCTTCCCGCCCGCCCGACTGCCCGACGCCGGCGGGGGCGGGGCCGGGCGGAGGCGGGCCCGCCGGCCAGCGCCGCTCCTCATTGGCTGCCGCGGCTGCGCGTCAGCGCCGCGCGCCCCCCGGCGCGCCAGCCACCACGTCCCGAACGCGGGCCCCGCCCACCCGCGGCGCGCTTCCGGCAGCGCGGGGGGGCGTTCCCGGAAGCCGAGCGGGAGGCCCCGGGCCGGGCGGACGTGCGCGTCGGCCCGGGGGGCCCGGGGTCTTCCTCGCGCCGTGGCCCGGGGCGCGTGGATGTCAGCCGGGGTCGCTGCCCACCCGCACCCGCCCCAGATGGGCGACGGCACCCGGATGCCCAGGGCGCGCGGGAGCGGAGGCCGGGCCGGGCCGCGCCGGGACCAGCGCGCAGCCCCGAGGCCGGGGAGCCGCAGGTCTCGCCACTCCACCCCGCCGGCCCGCGGGCCCCCGTGTCGGGCCGCAGACACGTTCCCACGAGGCACAGCACCCCGTGTTCCCCACACGCTTCCAGCTTGGCCCTGGGTGCTCGCGGGCAGGCGGGTGATCGGCCCCAGCGCCCCGGGCCTCCGAGCCGCCCGGGGCAGTGGGGACGGGGGCTGGCCGGACGGGGGTCGCTGCGGGGGAGGGGGTTGGTTTGCTCCCGGCTTTAAAGCTGCCACTTTTGAGCACAAGGTCACTCTCCCTTACTTCGGCCCTGAGGCGTGTATGGAGCGCAAGACGACTGTCTTGGGAATGAAAAGCCTGCTGAGCCTCAGCTCAGGGCTCAGGGAGACAGGAAGGGCTGCACCGATACTACACCAAATCACGGGAGAGAAAGTTCACCACTAGGTAGCAAGGCAGCTCAGCTGGGCTGGGCACAGCTTGCGCTGCCAGACCCGCGCCTCTCCAGGACTTACTTTCGGGGCGAGGGCTGGGGAGGGAGGCCCCGGGACCTGGGGGACAGCTCTGACTTGGGCAGGCAGAGGCCCCACAAACAGCAAGGCCATCGGGCGGCTTAGCCGCTGTGCGCTGCCTCCAGGCCAGCGGCTGTGGGGCCCAGATCTGCGAGGACAATCCAAGTCCAGAAAAGGGCTGCGGCTCAGCTGCGTGGGTCCAGAGGGGAAATGACTCACACCCAGGCTGGTTTGTGCAAATGTTTTTTTTTTTATTTCCACATTTATATCACAAGGTGTCCACTTACTGGACCAAATAGCAAAGTTGCTTCCTTCTGCGTCCAGAGAACACAGAAGTCTAGTACTGTACATTCACTAAGGCTCCTTGTTTTTGCAAATCGCATTTATGACAGATAACCATAAGGCAAACGAATCTAAAGGAATGGTTCTGAGTGTTTCCAGCGCACAGACACGTCTCCCTCACCCAGGAGAACAGCTCACACACAGTAGCACCCGCGCTTACTTTGTGGTGGGGGGTGGAGGGAGAAGGGGTTCTAGAAAGCTGAAATTTTCTAGAAGTGCAGGAAGAGAAGAGGGCAGAAAGAGGAAAGTTATCTGGCTGGTGGTCAGATGGAGGAGGGGATGAAAACAAACTTGAAAACTGAAACTTCTGCAGCATTTAGGAACCGGGTTTGAAGTGAAACCAGATACAAACGGGTGGGTCTGCCCGTGGAGTCAGGGGTGAGGCTGGTGGCCGACTGGCCTGCCCACCCAATGCCCATGGCTAAGAAGCTTCTAGCAAATGACAGAAAGAAAACACTGGCTCAACAGTGACTGGGTGAGGGTGAGAAAAAGAGGCTGAGGTGCGGCCCACTGTCGGCCTGGTGAGAACAGAAAATGCAGAGATGAGATGCGTGCGTCTGTCGTCTGTCGCTGTGTAAAGGTAACCTCTCCCGGGGCCTGTCTGCACCCGCCTGCCTGCCCACCTGCCAGGGAGGGCCCAGCGCTTGGGCGTGGAAGGGGCCTGCACCTTGCAGGGGGGCGGGGTGGGGTCTGACGCTTTTAGAGCTGGTTTGCTATAGAGTTCTGAACTCCCTTCCGCTGTCCGCCCTTCCTTCTGCAATGTCGTCCTTCCTTTGCAGTTTCGTTAGTAACCTGGTAGCAGCATTTCACAAGAGAAGGAGACTTGGAGGGAAGAGACAGTGCCTCCCCCTGGGCCCACCGCCCCAGGCTGCCGAGCGCGCTGCCGCCCCGGTTCCTGCCAGGCGGGAATGCACTTTGGGGCAGCTGCAGCGCCAGGTCAGTCCAAGCAGACATAAGGCAGAACGTTCAAGCGCCCGTCATCGCCATGCGGGTCGAGCGATATGCACTGCGTCCAGTCATACCAGTTACCCTGTGTGTCCTGACACCCGTTCACCCCCGGCCACCGGCCGGCCTGGAGCCTGTCCAGATCGTCCCGCGCGATCTCCCGGGTGAGGCCCGGGAGGTGGCTGGGCGGCTCGAGCGGCAGCAGCACGTGCGGCTGCCGGGCCCCACGCCGGCTGCTCTCCTCCTGCCGCAGGTACTCGGCCATGAAGTGGTGCGCGCCGGGGGTCTGCGCGCCCGACGAGGACAGCAGGCTGCTCTGGCGGCTCAGGTACGACTGCACGATCTCGCTGCGAGACAGCTCCTTCCAGTTCGTCTGCTCGAAGGGGCTCTGCAGGCTGGCCTTGGCCTCCGACTTGTCCGGCTCTGTCCTGGCAGGTGGCTCAGCCTGCACGGGGCTGTCTACCCGCACCGGCTCTTTCTGGGTCAGAGGTTTGATCTGTCTCGTCATGGGGTCAAAGGTGAGCTTCCGCTCTTTTAACCGCACAGGCTTCACACCTGCCTCGGCCTCCTGCCCGTCCAGGTTCACCGTGTAGTCCCGAGGCCGGTACCTCTTTTTCTTCTTGCTGTCCGAGCCCCCCGAGGAGGCAGCGTCGCTGTCCGCCTTGGAGGAGTCCGGGGAGAGGCCAGCCCGGGCGAGGAGGGGCTCGGCGGGGAGCGGCCCAGCCTTGCAGCCCGGCCCCGCCAGCCGCGGGTGGCCCTCGGGCTGCTCCGGCCAGCGCCCCGGGCTCTCGGCGCTGGGCAGCAGCTCCAGCCGCCGCACGGGGGGCGTGGACGGCTGGGCCGGCGGCAGGGGTGACGGCACCTGCGGGGTGTCGAGGGGCTGAGGCCGCGAAGAAGGGCTGGGCACTGAACCCTTGGGGGCGCACGGGCTCCGCTGCCGGGCAAAGGAGCCCTCGTGCCGTGAGTTCCGGGGGCTGAAGGAGCAGCGAGGGGGCCCCCGAGGGTGCGGAGGCCCCGGGGTCTCCTCCACCCTGTCCAGCTGCTGCAGCACCGAAGCCTTCGTTTGTGGGCAGGGCCCGAGGGGCTGGCCCGGGCCAGGGGAGGTGGGGTGCGGCCGCACCGCGTTGATGGGGATCTTGCCGCCGTGCTTGTCATTCTCGCTGGGCTCCAGGCGACCACTACTGTCCCGGGGGCTGGGCAGGCTCTCGGGGCTCCCGCTGAGGCCATTGGTGGGGAGGGGGGATGAGTTGGGGACCTGGGACTCGTGGCTGGCTTTGGCCACCTTGGGCAGCGGCCCAGGGTGGCCCAGGTTGCGCTGGTCCCCGCGGCGCTTGCGGCCGCCCAGCCTGTCCAGCCGCTGCCCGGGCAGCCTCTGGATGTCATTCCGCGTCTTCAGGTCCAGGATGCTCTTGGGCGCACTGGCCGTGCCTGCCTCGGGCCGGCAGTTGTGCGCGCCGCCGTTGGCTGAGCCGGGCAGCCCCGGCAGCCCCCGCAGCGCCGCCTCATTCTGGTGTGCGTGCGCGGGCTCGATGAGCTTCTGCCAGCTCCGTAGTAGCCGCTTGGCGCGCTTGGCGAGCTCCTCGTTCTGGGTCTTCTTGCGGACGTCGTTGATGAGCTTCCCCAGCCGCGTCTCCTGCAACCAGAGCAGGTGGCCCCTTACCGCTGTGCCACGCCACGCCACGCCATGCGGGGTGACTGCCCAGATACATGACCCACACTCACCCCCCATCTAAAGCCTTTCGCACCACAAGCTTGGCACAACAGGGCCGCTGCCAGGGCCGCTCTGTGCATGAGAAAAAACCCGTTAGAAAGGCGACAGAGGACCAGAGCCAAGGCATGAGGCCTCCCCACGTCCCACGTGGACCCCAGCCCTTGGCCCCCTGGGAAGCAGGGGATGCAGGTAGGTGACCCACCTCTAGTGCCTCTTTGGTAATGGGGTATCTCTCCAGGCTGGAGATGACTTCCAACACCGCCACCATGTTCCGGATCTGTAAAGCAAGAGCCACAGTCAGCTGCCACCCTCAACCCACAAGGCTGGGGACCCCAGGGCGTGCCCACGCCGCCCCCCCCCCCAGGGCCTTCTGCTCCCTGGGCCCACCCCTCAGGGCCAGCTGACGGACTGGCAGGGCAGCTGATGGCCGCCTCGCGGGAGCGCGAATGCAGGAAGGGAAAGACACACCAACTGTGCGTCACGGGAAAGAACGATGCGGTGCGGTCAACCAGCCCTCCTGGTCTCAACCACATCTTTCCAGAACTCATCTGGAGACAGTCACAGACACCCAGGGGGCAAAAAAGTCACAAGCTGCAAGACAGGCAGCCAGGTGCCCGGGCCAGCGGCTCCACAGGGCACCTCGGAGCAGGCTGAGCCGGCAGCATCTGCGCAGGCGCACCCACACTGGGCGCCGGGCCGGGGTGAGGACGGCCTGAGCTCGCCGCTGACTGCGTGGCCCTGTGGGCTCCATGATCAAGACCCGCCAGCATGGAGGCCAGTCCTGAAGGGACAGGGAGCCCTGGTGGCCTCGGGGCGAGCCATACGGCCTCCATCCCACCAGTGACCTCACCCTGGTCGATTTAGAGCCCGGGGCTCCGCACGCTCGCTTGAGCAGCCTGGCCCTGCCCGCCCCTGCCCAGCAGTACAGAGTGACCTTGTCCCGGGGCCAACAGCGTTGCTCCCAGACAGGAGGCACAACACCTGGGCACCCCAGAAATCAGTGCTGAACTGAAAGGCCAGCCAGAGCGCTGCATGTGCTCCGTGGCTCCCGCCGCTCCTGTCCCCAGTGTGCCCTGGAGAAGGAGCCGCCTAACCCCCCGCCCCTCCCCCAGCCCCAGAGCTCCGGGGCCATGAGGACCAGAGCTGAGCACTGCAGGCCCACCCTGGCTGCGGGGACCCAAGCAAGACCCCGAGCTACACACAAGGGGCCTGCACCCTCCCCGAGCAAGAAGGCACAGAGACACGGCAAGGCAGGGTCGCAGGGCTGGCTGCGGGGCTCAGGCAGGCAGCGCCTGGACGCTGGGCGCCCGAGGGGAGGCGACGTGCTAGGGAGGGAGACGGCAGCGGAAGCGAGGCTCAGGTCTCCCCCAGGTGCGGAAGGCGCGGGGGGGGCAGCAGGCAGGCACCTGGAGCGGGCTCCCCGCAGCTCTGCAAGGCGCGTCCCGCAGCACTGTCTGCATGGGGGCCTGGAGGGGCCGCCTCGCCTGGAGAAGGAGAAGGCTGGGCACCACCCTCTGCTCTGCACGGATCTCCAGCCCAGGCCGGGGCCGCGCTGGAGCTCAGGAGTGGAGCCGGCTGCAGCCCGGCCTCTCCGGGAGGGGTCACGCAGAGGGCGCGGGAGCGCGGGCACTGCAGGGCACGGCGGGCCACGCGGGCGGGGCTGCGCTGCGCCCGCTCCCACGCCTGCCCTGAGGGTATTTCCAGCCACAGCCCGAAAGAAGGAACTGAGACACCCTATTTGGGAGTTTGGGGTCCCTCCTTTCTGCGTCTGAAGTGCCCCAACCTGACTCTCCCTGATGGCAGGGGCGCACCCCCTGACCCCGGGGGCCACTGGCTGGACCCCTGCGCCCACTTTCCTTCCCCAGCCCTCTTCCCGGGTGAGGAGACCAGCCCACTTCCCACCACCTGGCACGGGCTCTGCCCCCGGTGCTTTGCTCGGTGGATCAGGGCGTATCTAGCTGAGTGGGCACTGCCAGTGTTCCCCAAACCAGCCTCGGCGAGGACACGCCTGGGTTCATAGCCCAGAACACACACAGGGCCACTTTTTTTTTTTTTTTTGTCCATCGTGGGGCTTGAACTCTGGGCCTTGGCGCTGTTCCTGAGCTTCTCTTGCTCAAGTCGAGCGCTCTACCACTTGAGCCACAGCACCACTTCCCATTTTCTGGTGGTTCATTGGAGAGAGTCTCATGGCCTTTCCTTCATGGGCTGGCTTTGAACCGCGATCCTCAGATCTCAGCCTCCTGAGTAGATGGGATGCCAGGCGTGAGCCACCAGCACCCAGCGTAACACAGAGTCACTTCTCCTAAGGGCACTCAGGAGCCCTGGCCAGGGAGGCCCCGGCCCCACCGCAGTCCATGCCCCGTGGTCCCCCCACCCCGAGGGCTGCGACGACGGCAATGAAGCCAGCTCATCACCGCGCTGGCCCTTGGAGTGGCCCCCACTCCCATGTCCCCTCAGCACCAACTCCTGGCCTGGCCAGCCCAGCCCTGGACGCTGCTGCCCGACGCTCAGGGCAGCTGCCCGGGCAGGGCAGGTAAACCAACGTGTGCCTGTGTTCCAATCCCCTCACCCACCTCCTCGGCTCACAGAATCAGGCCTATTTTCATACACGCCAACCATCTCTGGCTAGCAGCACCCCCAAAGAGCCTGTTCCTCTTTCTCCTTCCCCCACCAACCACCAGCGGCCAGGTTTTCTCCATGGTTCCCTTTCCTAAGCTCACAGGTCGGCCTGGCGTAAAACCCCAGCAGCCCGGCACCCCAGGGCCAGGCTGGGCCTCGTGCGCTGGCAGACAGGTGCTCTATCATGTGAGCCACAGCGTGGCCTTCTGCCTTGAGCTATTTTGGGCCCCACTCGGGGGCCCAGCTTTGGTAAGGATGCAATCTTCACTGCTCCTTCCCTAGTGGCGAGGAGGTCACAGGCACGAGCCGCTTGTTTTGGCGGCAGTACGGGGATTTGAGTTCAGGGCCCGGTACTTGCTGGGCAGGTGCTTTGCCTCTGGCCCTTATTTTGACATCAAGTCAAAATAACATGACTTCCTAGTCATGTTGCCCGGGCATGCTCCCGGCTGGAAATCCTACCTTATGCTTCCCCTGGTAGCTGGGGTGACAGGCGTGCACCACCATGCCCAGCTTTCTTCTGCTGAGATGGCGTCTCACCAACTTTCCTGCCCAGGCTGGTCTGGAACCACGATCCTCCTGCTCCCAGCCTCCCTCCCAAGTAGGACTGCCGCACATGTGAGCCACTAGCGCTTTTTTTTCCCCCCCAATGCAGAATGGTCTAGACAAGAATCTACCAAAACAGCTGAGCTCAAAAGACTCTGGAAGTGTTCATTAGCAAGCGGCTGTCCTTCCAAATGAAAATATGCTATAGCTGACCCCAGGCGGGGGTCTGTGCACACCAGGGTGCTGAGCATGCCCGCGCAGCTGTGAGTCCCCAGGGCACCCCAATCTGTTCTAGGCCGTGTCTGTGGCACGTCTGCACAGGAGGCCGCTCAGACCAGAGCTCCAGGCCTGTCCTCTGCACTCCGGCTGTCCAGCCGCATCCACCCCACACCTGGCAGGAGCCGGGAGAACCTGCCAGGCACGGATGCCCCTGGCATGCCCTGCTCAACCACATGGGCTCTGCCTAACCAAAGCCACTTCCCCTCGCGAGGAGGACCGGGGGCCACAGTACTTCCCACGGGCGGGCGGCCTACCCGTTCTCGTGGGCTTGGAGTCGTATACACGTCCTACAACAGCCCACAGAGCAGCGGCGGGAGGACAGCCTGGACTCACGTGGGAGGTGGCGTGGGTCCCCGCGGATCCTTATTCAAGCTCCACTCCCCTGACCCCGGTCCACAGGGCTTCCGCTCCTGTCACTTGGCCCTTTCTGAGCACACACAGGCTTCCCGAGTGCCTGCGAGAACTGGCTCCAGGCAGGTCCCGGAGACGGTGGCTGAGGACGTGGGGGGGGGGGGGGGGGGCTCCGCCTTCCCAGCCTCTCCTCTAGGAAGAGCCAGGGCCGATGCCAGCTCCACAAGCCTGGAAATGATCCAGTGCCCAGGGAAGGAACACGGCACCCATCCACACGACTGCAGGGCGCGGAGCGCGGGCGAGAGTAAGCCAGCTTTCCAGGAACAGACAGGGACTAGACTGAGCCGGTGAGCAGCCACAGCGCGCAGTTAGGAGCAGAAAGGCTGAGGACCTGGGGGCCCAAAGCGCGGCGGGGGGCGCCCTCTGTGGCCCGTGCTGGCACAAGCTCGATGGGAGCCACACTGCGCCGGCGGCCCTCAGCGAGCCTGGACTAAACAGGGACTGGGGTGCGGGCCGCAGGGGGCCTGGCGGCGCCCCGCTGGCAGGCAGCGGCAGCAAAGCAAGGACTGCGGCTCAGCAGAGGGCAGCGGGTCCCAGCCCACGGCGGGCGGGCAGGCGCTGCACCCCAGCCCCAGGGTCAGCAGGAATTGTGCGCGTCAGAACACAAGTCACAAGGCGGGCTCTGGCGCAGTGACCACACCCACTTGAGGGTGCCCCGCCAGCAGGAACAGGGGTCTGGTGGTCCACTACTTGCTTTAGGAGGTCACATGTGAACACACATGGGACACACATACACACACACAACACAGGGCCCACTACATGGAATTCTACTCAGCACCGAAAAGGAACTACGAACACAGAGCATCACAGACCCACCTCAAATCAACATGCACAGTTGCCGGGCGCTGGTGGCTCACGCCTGTCATCCTAGCTACTCAGGAGGCTGAGATCTGAGGATCGCAGCAAAGCCAGCCCGGGCAGGAGAGACTGTGAGACTCCTATCTCCAATAAACCACCAGAAAACCAGAAGTGGCGCTGTAGCTCAAGTGGTAGAGCGCTCGCCTTGAGCTGAAGAGCTGAGGGACAGCGCCCAGGCCCAGAGTTCAAGCCCCACGACTGACCCAAAAAAAAAAAAAAATCAACATGCACAGGAGAGACAGCAGACAAATGGGGGGGGGGGGGGGGGAGACATAGCGCACGACTACAGAACTCTAAGAAAGCGCCTCGCCAGTGCTCACGCCTGTCATCCTGGCTACTCAGGAGGCTGAAGACCTCAGTTCAACGCCTGCCTGGGCAGGAAAGTCCGTGAGACTCTTATCTCCAATAAACCTCCAGAAAAACAGAAGTGGCTCAAGTGGTGGAGCGCTCGCCTGGAGCTGAAGAGCTGAGGGACAGCGCCAGGCCCAGAGCTCGAGCCCCACGACCGACCAAAAAAAAAAAAAAAAAAGGCAACCTCAACTAACGTGCAGCCACCAAGCAGTTGTC